GGCGCATCATTGTTCTCACCAATGTAAGAACTGCTGCTGCGTTTCTCATTTTATCACCTTTGGCGTAAGCAGAATGTTGTGACTGAGAATTTTGTTAAGTTATGAACGCAGTTTGTAGGTCCGAAATGGTGAATTCGAATGATCATTCAAACCTCCACCTAAGTAATCCTGCGACAAGACCTAATGGCATTTGCCGTACGAGCAACGGGTAGACTTCGCCTGTGCATTTTATGATTTGGCTCCTCCTCAACGTGGTATGCAAGAGCAGATGCGAAGTTTGATTCTGTGGAATAGGACATTTTACCTCTCGAAGCGAGCAACTCATTCACCTTCACTTCCATCTGGATGTGTGTAAGAAGATCGGGAGTCGATGCCTCTCTCTTCTAATCCCCATTCTCACACCCCCTCCCCCCCGTTTCAAGACGCAATCTTTTGGGGTCCACAATTTGTGTGGCATTGTGAGACACGAGGCATAGAGAAGGCAAAAGGGGAAGGAGTGTCTCCTACTGGCAGTCCTTCTGGCACACTCAAAGTGTGTCGTGGTGTGTATGCTCGAAGTGGTAACATTGATTGTGCGGTCTTCAGGCATGTGGTCAAGTGCATTTTCGGTACACCCCACCCTCGTGAGGTGGGTGCAGTGATGAGAAGAAGACGAGGTAGTGGTTGCCTCTAAGGCAACGGTGTGCGTATTCATTGGTCCGGTGTAACGGCACAGCAGCACTGGTGAATTGCATGAAATGGTTTCATTCGTGCTGTCGTGAGGGTGGCACGAGTCCGTGAGGCGTTTGGCCCAAGGGGGATGGGGAGGGAATTACGGGCATTTGTAGCTGTGCAATTTCATGTAAGTGTACTCAAGCCTTTTGCAAAGCAGGACGATAAGATTGCTGCAAGTGATGGCATCAGTGGTGGGTATTGTGGATGTCAGTGCGACTAGTTTGAGGTGACAGTCACTCACGCGGCTGCATTTTGTCGTGGAAATCTAGAAGGTGTGAGGTGTCGTTACTAATGGGGTGGAATCTGTTGCGCAGGATGCTGCAGTGGCGGATGAGTGTGTCGCAAAATGGGGCGCAGTGATTGCAGGTGGTGCGGACATTATCGGACGCTTGGAGGTGGGTGCGTTCCACTGGGATGAATATGATGATGTCGTTGCTCATCCTGACTTCGCCGAGGTCCTTCACAAGTTGCGCAAGCTTTTGCGCAATCGTATGCCCACACTCAAAAACGGTAAGCTTCGAGTTCTCCCTTTTCCTTTCACTAAAGTTTGATTAAGCAGCCTCAAAAACATTGCAGTTGCAGTATTGCGCAATTGAAATAGGTTGTTTGAGAGGCGATAGGCGACTTGTGACATTTGTGCAAGATTGGTCCACACCATGCCCAATGAAACACATTCAACATGCGGTGACCGTTGTTTTACCATGTCGCACCCTTTGTTAACGTTACAGGTCGCATGGGAGAGAACGTGATCGAACTGTTGAGGGCTCAGCAACTGTGTGTTCTTCTCAGTTCGGTGCCTGTGGAGGGCGTGCCAGAAATAAACGAGATTGAATTAGTTCTAGGTCAGGTATGTTGAGTACAGCTTCAAATTAACTGTTACTTCCAACCGAGGAAGGGCTTGTATCGTTTTCTACGTCATGACTTTCACCCACCGCACATCCCAAACGGTTGCTGCTTTGCCAGCTCTAGTAGTCAAATTCACGCAGGATGTCTAAGATGCCATGGCGGGATACATCTGTTCACGTAGCTGAGTTGGAATGGCGTTTTATTTTTTTGTTGGACGATTCAGCTCTCCTGGGAGGACTCGCATCTGGAAGATAACTTGCACTGCTACCTGGAAGCGATCGATGCAGCAAAGTCAGCACGGCTAAACGGTAATTTACTCTTCTTGTTGTATCCAATTCGATGATATCCAATTGTATGCTCTCTTTTTCATCCTTGCAAAAAGGTGATGTTTTGGAGCGTGTAGAACTTCTCTGTCCACCGTGTGGTGAGATTTTTCAGCTTAATGAAATGCACACGTCAGGTGAGAAGAGGCCTGCCGAGGTGGAAGAAAGTGACGAAGAGGAGGGACGCGATTCTGGCTAGACGGTATCTCACCCCACCCCACCTCCCAACCTCAACTTCTGTACATATGAATTGATGCACGGAACGGAGCCAGCTGTTGCCCCATTAACCAGTTGCTCTATGTGTGGTTTTTTGTCAAATTATTAGATGCTGATTATTATCCAGGCATTTAGCCTTCAATTAAACCCTCGCGGATCAGACTGGCGGTGTTGCGATGTTGTCCCAGCGAGGTCGTCCTGCGTGGATGACAGTACGGAGGGATCTGCGCTTTGGATTCGAGTATTTGGAGTGATGTGGTGGAGTTGTAGGAGTGGCTCGGTCTAATTCTTAGTTGGAATTGTGTCCGGGGCAGGTCCTAGCCCTGTCCTTTTCGAGGAAAAGATCTTGGTTAAGATCGTACGGTCTTGTGGGAATTGCATAAATATATTTTGTTCTCTTACTCACTTTCTGAAGTTATGCAAGAAAGACTTTTCTTAAGCAACGTCGGAAGTTTGAGTGTGTTGAGTAGGTGGAGCGTCCTGACCTCGGCCTCCAGTCAGACTGACCACCACCGCCGCCACCACCACCACTGCCACGCTATTGTACCGACGGCACCAATGTCAATGTAAAAGTAGAATGAGAAGCAGCATCCCATTCGTACCACCTGGGCGGCAACAACAAGACTTGCGAGTTATTTCGCACACCATGTGGTTCAATTTAACCCCTCCACATGTCTAT